ATGAACTCCCCCAGCGATCGTGGGCCTCCTCTCGAACACCCCCAGCGATCGTGGGGCCTCCACGAGCGCCCCCAGCGATCGTGGGGCCTTCACGAACGCCCCCAGCGATCGTGGGCCTCTTCGCAAACGCCCCCAGCGATCGTGGGCCCCTCACGAACGCCCCCAGCGATCGTGGGCCCCTCACGAACGCCCCTAGCGATCGTGGGGCCTTCACAAACGCCCCCAGCGATCGTGGGCCCCTCACGAACGCCCCCAGCGATCGTGGGGCCCCCAGCGATCGTGGGGCCCCTCACGAACGCCCCCAGCGATCGTGGGGCCCCTCACGAACGCCCCCAGCGATCGTGGGGCCCCTCACGAACGCCCCCAGCGATCGTGAGGCCTTCACGAACGCCCCCAGCGGTCGTGGGGGCCTCACGAACCAGCACCATGTTACCGCTCCTGACAGATGAGGTCTCGTAAATCACTTGAGTTTCCCCCCTTAGTCGCCCCCCCCCCCAACACCCACACGTCAACGTGGACAACCAAAGGGAAACACGCTAAGGGAAGGTCTGAGGGGAAGACCTTAACGAGAAGACCAACGTGTGAGGGAGGAGACGGAAACAAAACAAAAGAAAAAAATACGAGTCGCTTGCCTGTAGGGAAAAGGAGGCGGGGAGGGGGTGGGGGGACGGGGTTCGAATGGGGGGGGATGGGGGGGGAGGGGTTTGAAGTTAGAGGTGTGGCATACCTGGGTGACGGGTTGTCTTGTATAGCAGCCCCCCCCCCTTTAACAGCCCTCCTTAACGACCCTAAACGACCCCAAGCTGAGCTAGAAAGGGGAACAAGGTGATCCTTATACCTGGACACACAAGGGTATCAATTGATTGATTGATTGATTAAGATTAAGCCAGCCAGGTGGCGGCACGGGCATGAATAGCCCGTATTGGGGCTCTCTCGGGAAAGAAAATAGTAACCTACTTTGGGTCTTTTTTTTGTTTCTTTATGGACGGGTAAAACACACATCTCTAACGTGGCAGAACTATTCGCATACTTTGCGTCATTATATAATGAAACGTGAAAAAAAATCGCGGAATTCAGAGATAACAGAGATAACTATGGGGGGGTAGGGTGAGTTGCCATACATGGGGAGGGTAGGGCGAGTTGCCATACATGGGGGAGGGTAGGGCGAGTTGCCATACATGGGGGAGGTTAGGGTGAGTTGCCATACATGGGGGAGGGTAGGGTGAGTTGCCATACATGGGGAGGGTAGGGTGAGTTGCCATACATGGGGGAGGGTAGGGTGAGTTGCCATACATGGGGGAGGGGAGGGCGAGTTGCCATACATGGGGGAGGGGGAGGGTGAGTTGCCATACATGGGGGAGGGGAGGGTGAGTTGCCATGCATGGGCGTGGGTAGGATGAGTTGCCATACATGGGGGAGGGGAGGGTGAGTTGCCATACATGGGGGAGGGTAGGGTGAGTTGCCATACATGGGGGAGGGGAGGGCGAGTTGCCATACATGGGGAGGGGAGGGTGAGTTGCCATACATGGGGAGGGGAGGGTGAGTTGCCATGCATGGGCGAGGGTAGGGTGAGTTGCCATGCATGGGGGAGGGTAGGATGAGTTGCCATACATGGGGGAGGGTAGGGTGAGTTGCCATACATGGGGGAGGTTAGGGTGAGTTGCCATACATGGGGGAGGGTAGGGTGAGTTGCCATACATGGGGGAGGGTAGGGTGAGTTGCCATACATGGGGGAGGGGAGGGTGAGTTGCCATACACAGGGAGGGGAGGGTGAGTTGCCATACATGGGGGAGGGGAGGGTGAGTTGCCATACATGGGGGAGGGGAGGGTGAGTTGCCATGCATGGGCGTGGGTAGGGTGAGTTGCCATACATGGGGGAGGGTAGGGTGAGTTGCCATACATGGGGGAAGGGAGAGTGAGTTGCCATACATGGAAAGGGTAGGGCGCGTTGCCATACATGGGGAGGGTAGGGTGAGTTGCCATACATGGGGAGGGTAGGGTGAGTTGCCACACATGGGAAGGGTAGGGTGAGTTGCCATACATGGGAAGGGTAGGGCGAGTTGCCATACATAGGGAGGGTAGGATGGGTTGCCATACATAGGGAGGGTAGGATGTGTTGCCATACATAGGGAGGGTAGGATGTGTTGCCATACATAGGGAGGGTAGGATGTGTTGCCATACATAGGGAGGGTAGGATGTGTTGCCATACATAGGGAGGGTAGGATGTGTTGCCATACATAGGGAGGGTAGGGCGAGTTGCCATACATGGGGAGGGGATATAAGATCCACCTATAAGATCAGATCTTATACCCCCGCCTATAAGATCAGATCTTATACCCCCGCCTATAAGATCAGATCTTATACCCCCGCCTATAAGATCAGATCTTATACCCCCGCCTATAAGATCAGATCTTATACCCCGCCTATAAGATCAGATCTTATACCCCCGCCTATAAGATCAGATCTTATACCCCCGCCTATAAGATCAGATCTTATACCCCCGCCTATAAGATCAGATCTTATACCCCCGCCTATAAGATCAGATCTTATACCCCCGCCTATAAGATCAGATCTTATACCCCCGCCTATAAGATCAGATCTTATACCCCCCGCCTATAAGATCAGATCTTATTACCCCCGCCTATAAGATCAGATCTTATACCCCCCGCCTATAAGATCAGATCTTTATACCCACCCGCCTATAAGATCAGATCTTATACCCCGCCTATAAGATCAGATCTTATACCCCCGCCTATAAGATCAGATCTTATACCCCCGCCTATAAGATCAGATCTTATACCCCCGCCTATAAGATCAGATCTTATACCCCGCCTATAAGATCAGATCTTATACCCCCGCCTCTAAGATCAGATCTTATACCCCCCGCCTATAAGATCAGATCTTATACCCCCGCCTATAAGATCAGATCTTATACCCCCGCCTATAAGATCAGATCTTATACCCCCGCCTATAAGATCAGATCTTATACCCCCGCCCTATAAGATCAGATCTTATACCCCCGCCTATAAGATAAGATCTTATACCCCCGCCTATAAGATCAGATCTTATACCCCCGCCTATAAGATCAGATCTTATACCCCCGCCTATAAGATCATATCTTATACCCCCCGCCTATAAGATCAGATCTTATACCCCCCGCGCTATAAGATCAGATCTTATACCCACGCCTATAAGATCAGATCTTATACCCCCGCCTATAAGATCAGATCTTATACCCCGCCTATAAGATCAGATCTTATACCCCCGCCTATAAGATCAGATCTTATACCCCCGCCTATAAGATCAGATCTTATACCCCCGCCTATAAGATCAGATCTTATACCCCCGCCTATAAGATCAGATCTTATACCCCCGCCTATAAGATCAGATCTTATACCCCCGCCTATAAGATCAGATCTTATACCCCCGACTATAAGATCAGATCTTCTACCCCCGCCTATAAGATCAGATCTTATACCCCCGCCTATAAGATCAGATCTTATACCCCCGCCTATAAGATCAGATTCTATACATGTCTCATTATTAATTTAACTGCTGGTCTTCCGTTTTCACCCAAGACATTAACACAATAAACAGTTTTTAAAATTTTATCTTTGGTTGTCTGTTACGTCTCTCCCGACTATATACGTCATATAGACGTATATACCGTTCTGAGTGGTATATACGTCATATAGACGTATATACCACTCAGAACGTCTCAATGACGTTCTGTTCCGCTCCCATTTTTACACACCCAAAACCTCCCACTTTTGTAAATTAAGACACGTAGGTAAAAAAAAAAAAAAAAAAAATTAAGCTGTTATTGCGTGTTATTACGATGAGTATCTTTTTAAAGCCGAGCTTAAATACAGCATTTTTGTGCATAGTAAATAATGCTGAAATTATCAGTGATTGCGTGTTGATGTGACGTTAATGGCTGTTGTGGGTGGCGGTTGGTTTTGCCATGGGTGTCTGACTCGCGTCGTAGTCAAAAAGGCTTTTTTTTTGTATGTGTGGGTTTTTGTAAACCAGAATTACGTGTATCACGGTGTCGGGAATTGTTACGTTTTTCGTTGTTAAACGACGCGTTGTATTGTACGCCTCGTTTGGATAACGAGTGACTGATCCCGGCTGTTGTATTCACAGGTCAGTGGTAGGGTAATTAGTACGGAATTGCGCCATTTTTAACGAGCGAGGGATTTATAGTTCGTGTTGAGCGAGGGCTCGTTTAGGCTAGTTTGTTGTACACCGGTGAGTAGCTCATTGTACGCCGGTGCGTAGCTCATTGTACGCCGGTGCGTAGCTCATTGTACCCCGGTGCGTAGCTCATTGTACCCCGGTGCGTAGCTCATTGTACGCCGGGTGCGTAGCTCATTGTACGCCGGTGCGTAGCTCATTGTACGCCGGTGCGTAGCTCATTGTACCCCGGTGCGTAGCTCATTGTACCCCGGTGCGTAGCTCATTGTACCCCGGTGCGTAGCTCATTGTACCCCGGTGCGTAGCTCATTGTACTCCGGTGCGTAGCTCATTGTACGCCGGTGCGTAGCTCGTTGTACCCCGGTGCGTAGCTCATTGTACCCCGGTGTGTAGCTCATTGTACCCCGGTGCGTAGCTCATTGTACCCCGGTGCGTAGTTCGCTTCCTTGCAACAAGCTTTAAGAACATAGCAATTGAGTATAATTTACCCAACTCTCACAGAGAAAGACAGACCAAGACAGTTGCATGCGTAATGACCACTGTCGCCTTAAACTACCGACACACGTCGAAACACCTCACTTAACGAGCAGATAAGGTGGTCAATTGAATATATATATTCCAAACGGGCCCCCCCCCTCCTTCCCCCCCCCCTCTTGGTATTAAGGTGCTCTATAATTCAGTAATCATTTTAACTTTTTTTTTTTAATATATTAGGCGTTTAAAACACTGGTTAATTAGGCACATTTCCTTGTTGGCACCCAGGGCCTTGAGGCACCCAGGGCCAGGAGGCACCCAGGGCCAGGAGGCACCCAGGGCCAGGAGGCACCCAGGGCCAGGAGGCACCCAGGGCCAGGAGGCACCCAGGGCCAGGAGGCACCAGGGCCAGGGCACCCAGGGCCAGGAGGCACCCAGGGCCTTGAGGCCCAGGCCATGAGGCCCAGGGCCAGGAGGCACCCAGGGCCAGGAGGCACCCAGGGCAGGAGGCACCCAGGAGGATGCACCCAGGGCCAGGAGGCACCCAGGGCCAGGAGGCACCCAGGGCCAGGAGGCACCCAGGGCCAGGAGGCACCCAGGGCCTTGAGGCACACAGGGCCAGGAGGCACCCAGGGCCAGGAGGCACCAAGCACTCTGGCACCTGTGTCTGTGCTGCTTTCAACATGCAGCGACTTCGTTTAATATTAATTGAAATGTGAACTATCGGAAACTTCCAAAAAGGTTGTTATTGTCATAAACAGCCTCGTATATATATATATATATATATA